CCATTCGGGAGCCAATGATCAAGGAAATTGATAGAACAGAAACAAAAATATATGATATTAACAATCTTATTTCACGCGATAGAATGACATAAAATAGTATAGGAAACTTGCGAATTATGATTTTTTTTTTTGACTGGGATTGCACAACTTGCTTTGGGTGTGGATTATACGAATTAGCTGAGCGAAGGAGAAGTCATACGCAAATCTTGCGTAATATACTATTCTTTCGCCCTTATTGATTGAAAACCGGAAATATGTAAAGATTCTGGAATGTATTTGCCTGAGTAAGATACGTCAATGGTGTGTTTGTCAGGAATAAAGTTGCGCGACTTCTCGTGGACGAAGGTGTAGACTGTCAAATTATTTGAGACTGAAGACATTAACATATACGGTATTATTCTGACTATCTTAAAATTAGGAGGAAAGCATTATTTTACCGACAATTTTACAGGATATCATTTATGAAGGCTACAGTACTCTTTTCAACGAAATATTTTTCCAAGGACATTTCTGGCTGGAAAGAAGACAATTATTTGGAAAAGAAATTGAAATTGTTTAAGTCATTTATGAAATATTTGCTAAAATATATGAATACACAAAATAAATATCTCAAGAATCGCTAGAATAATTGTGTCCATCTATAATACCAACTTTTTATTTTCTTCATGGTAGATGTATCCGAAATTTCAATGCGTAATCTTTTTTAGTTCTTCAGGTATAGGGTAAGCAAGATTTTTCATTACAAAACGAAAAATGGCAAGATGTTCAAAGTTTGTTCGAATGGACATATATGTTCTGATTGATTTATAGAGAGCTCATGGAGATTAATATTCTATAGTAAAAGATAAATGCAATTGGCTCAGTCGATTGTGAGATATTTAAGAAAATTATTTGAAAAAGTTATCATATGTTATGAATTACTGAACAAATTATTATTTATGCAAAATTTTTTCAGAAATTGTCGTCAAAAACGCAATTTGACCTAAAATATCCTGGACTATTTAAAATCAAAATGAAAGAATCGCTGGAATACACGATTCTCACTGAGAATGAAAAAATAATTTAAATAAACAGACTTTCAGATGACATTATTCAATTTTGAATTCAATTCAATTCAAAACTTTAATATTCATAGAATATTTATTCATTCATAAATTTAATAGCTTTAGAGATAGTAATAAAGTTTGAACATTAACAGGTTTTTATGAATTTCGCGAGAAGAATAATGGTGAACTTGTATACTCGAATGGCTGGGATACAGGTTTAAAAGAATTTTCTTTTCTCAACTAACGGTACCGATCGAAAGTCATTTGGGTCCACCAAAAATGGTTTCACGGATCAAATTTCTCTGTGTTAGAGCTGAGAACTGTACGGCCATTCAGAGGCTGGATCTATAGATATTA